AAAGTCAGGCGACAGTGACTTGCACTGTTAATGCTCAGACCCTAAATACACAAGGAAAACATTTCATCTGCAGATGTGGTAAACAATTTTGGGAAGCACAGTTTTTTTTTTTTTGAGGAGGCGGGGGGGGGATTGGAAGTCTTGTGCCACTTGTGGTAATCTAATAGGGATGCTGCACAGCTGCTGAAGAAAAGAAACGTCTTCTGGTTTTCTATACATTTTTAATATTTCACATTCTTCAGAAAAAGACAATCAAAGCCACATAATAATAATAATACAGATATCATTTTTTGACTTTTTTTTTTTTTTTTTTACAATTTAAAATTTACAATATAATAATTTATTATCACAATTCATATAACATGAGATGAACATATTTGAAAAAAAAGGCATTGTTTGTCTCCGTTAAAACAATATCCATGGCTTTGAAGATTGGAAAAATAAAGAGGGTTAAAAGGACCACAGGGTGATCCCTACAATCACTGACTCCTCACCATTCAGTGTACAGTACCTCATGTTTAACAGCTGGATGGACGGAAACCGTTCGACTGCCTGAAAGTGGTGCTCGGAATTATTATCCTCCTTGTCGTCTGAGCGTACATGAATATGGGAGGGAAACAGATCCTGTATCGAGAGAGACTCCGTGTTCAGTCTTAGCTTTGATTTTCAAACATTCATTAACATATGATGATCTTATTGCAAATCCATTTTTTTTTAACTTGCAGAACCGATTTCACAATCCACTGAAAAGTCGTCAAGCATAGAAATTTTTGAATCTGATTGTTTATTTTCTTGCAGTAGCATTTGGTGTGTTGATACCAAAAGTCATTTTATGAACTTTTGTGTGGCAAAAGCATTGTTTATCTTGAGGTATAACAAATCTGGGTTCATCTCAGAAACTTAAAAAATAAATCCTTAAAATTAGTTCTTATATATTCAACAGTATTTATTTTGGATATCGTAGTACTTAAAAGGCAGATAACAAAAAACGATTTCTACATTTCAGCACTGAAATTAAAGCTGAATCAAAAGTCTATGGATGAAGATATAATGTTCGAATGCCACCCTACTCTGTCTTTGCATAATTTCGTCAGGCTGGGTAGAAAAGCCTAAGTTATCAATACTGTTACCACACAACGCCTGGCTCTATCAAATGTCATCATATAAGACTAACTACATAGTTTCTCACTTACTGGTTTTAAATTCCTGAAGCAAAGCTCTTTTTTTTTTCCTTTTTCTTTTTAATAAACTTGAAAACAAGTAAGTGAATTTCAAAAATGGCTTTAACACATTTCAGTTTCCTCCTTTCAAATGAAAGTCGTAAAGGCAAATAAGTTATACTATTGATTTTTCCTTAGTTTTTTTTTTGTCTCTCTTTTTCACGTGTTCCAGGTAAGCATCAAAGCACCGAAAAGGAACTACAATATTACATTCAAAGGATTTTAAGCCAACCACTTTTCTTTTTGGCTGAATGATATTTTACATGTTCACACTGCAGTTTCTCATTGATATGTGCAATCACTGGCATTTTGAAGAAATACGTCCGCTCCGGAAAGTCGTTTCTTTATTTTTTTTTTTCTTCTAGAATCTTCTGTCTTATAATAAAAGTAGGCCACACAAAAATATTTTCGGTAGCTTTAACACAATGTCCAGTGATGTCGGAGGGTTTTTCCTTTTTTTTTTTTTTTTCGTTTTTTTCGGAGCCTCTCCTGGTTTTCAAAATACACCAGTCACGTGAGAGACGCTCGCCGCAGAGTGTACAGAAGAGGTACATCAATCAATGATGTCATTTTGCAGGAGAGAGAAAAAAAAAAAAAAAAAGAAAAGAAGACGCACTGCTCGTCTCTGGACTCCTGTCTCATCGGAGTTTGGTGTTGCTGTATGTGTTGCGCTGTACAGAAATGAGCTTTTCCATGCACATGGTGCGACTGTCGTGTAAAGAGCCGTGCCACATGTTGCTGGGAGGTCGCCCCTCTTCGCTCCGGCAGTAGACGTACGCCATGGTGTCCGTGCGGCTCTGGATGTGGGTGCTGCGCAACAGGGAGCGGCAGTAGAGGCTGATCTTCTCCACCCGACGCAGGATCAGGTTGGCTTTTCTATTGGAGGAGACGAAGAAAAGCTGTTAATGTCAATCACCATTACATTTTCTCAGATGAGGCTCTGCTTTCCTACAAAAACCAAATATGAATTAAATGAACTCATCAATGTAGTGAAGTAATGTTGGAATTTCGGGTAACACTGGGTTACAAAAAAATACTGATTTAGGACATTTTTGCAACGCTGAATCCCAAAATGACATCTGCTTTTCTGGTTTTTATGCCAACTCGATTTAAAAAAGATCAATTTAGCCACTAAATCGATCAAATTTTTTGACATTAGCGATTGATTTATTTCAGTATTCCTCAGATGAAATCAGATTTTAGAGGAAAAATGTCATTTTCTAATCCTCTTCACAGGCTAAATGATCCAAAAGTTGATGAGCGTAAACATTTGTAAAGGTAAATACAAGCAAATTTACGGTGGCCCAGAAGTGTCACAACAAAATAAAAGCCACAACACAACACAATAAGCCACAGCACAAACAAATTAACCACAACACTACAAAATAAGCCGCAACAAAACACAACAGCTGCAACGGAAGTTGAGCAACCAAACGAAGTGGGCAGAAGCCGGAGATTGTTGGAAACAACTTGAAAGTAAGTAAAATACTGATGGCAAATAGTGTCCATTAAATTTATTCATTGACTTATTCAAGGTAAACCAAAAACTCACTTATGGACCCACTGAGCAAACCTCAGATCAGATGATACATATCGGTGCTACGTCCTGTATGTGTTTACCTGAGTGAGAAAAATCCCGTAAACCAAAAAGATTTCGCTACCCCACCTGCTCTGCATAAACCTCACATGGGTTCCTCCACCAACCTCTGTGATGCATTCAAACAAAAGAGACAAATTGGGCACCGTGTCCTCATTTGCACCTCCGCTGGCTTTGTGTCTGCACAAAAGTAAAAGTTTCAAACTCTACCAAAGAGTTGTTTCTCTCCTGTCATTCTGATGGAGCTGCCAGTCCGGGTCAAACAGTGACATTTAGAACTCTCTGGTACCGGTTCTGTTTTAACACCACACCGGAGGCAGCTGTCTGGAGTGAGCGAAGGTAAGAATTTCAAAATCTGGGAGTGAAATTTACGACATGAAGGAGCCCCCACATGTCAGGTCAGCTCAATTTAAAAAGAAAGCCTCTCTATTTAAGCACACACAAACAGCATGTACACAAATATCTACAGCGTCCAACGCTGGGGAGCTCATACGTTACTAATACGAGGAAAACACACACGGAGAAAGGCAAAATTCCATTTGTTTTGAAAAGCAGTGTCTGCTGAGCATCAACATCTGTCTTTAGTTAAGCAAGGAGTACAGACATCCTTTTCACTTATTTGCTGAAAAGGGTGGGGGGGCATTTTCTCATTTCCCTTAAATTCTTATGTCTGAAACAACAGAATACCGAACACATTATCAAGGGAGGCGTGGAAGCACGTGAGCCAGGGATGAATTAAAACCGTTTAATGCCACTCACGGCGACAAACAAAGAAAAAAAAATAGCTTCACTGTAAACTTTGAGATTGCAGCTACTAGATTTGGCTTTATGCGATTTAAGCAACTAAATCCAAAGTAATTGGTTACAACACAAACACAGCTTCAGTCCAGAAGAGTGTGTGGCAATAAGGAAAAGTACACTGCAGCACAAGATAATAGCAGTAATCATGGATCACAACCGATCCGGAGAAACACAGAAATATGACGGGAGCTGGTGTTGACTTGCAACAATGGTGGACGTTTGGGAGAGAGAGCTTGTCGGGAGGAGAGCTGAGCGCGCTTACGTTTCACTTGGCCATTCTGTTACCTTTTAAAAGGCACCACCAATAGAGCCCGCTTGTAAATTACCGCAACGAGGCTCAACCCTGCCAACTTCAGGCAGTAAATAATCCACACTCGCTCATCCAAAAGCCTCCACCGCCACCCCGTCGCCCCCCTCGCAGCTGCCCACACACAAACACACAAACATCCCCACCGAACTCCCGATTTCCAACCTGTGCCTCCCACCCCCCTTCACCAATCAGAGAGAGGCTTCCTAAAGTTATTCCTCAATTATTATATTATTTATGGCTTGAAAAAGGAGCGCTTCCAGGCAGTGGGGGTGGACAAACCAAAACATTGGTCTGTAACTTAATATCTGGTGTTGCTATCATCAAGCGCTGCCTTAGTCAGACTCGCATACATGAATGTTTTTGTTCTATACTTCTTTTTTTTTATTGTTTATACTTCCTCTTGTGCTCTTTTGTTAGTCAGTAAACTCCTCTTTGTTCTGGTGGTGTCGTAATGTCTGCTCAATCTATCAATGGGGGCGTCCCTGTAAAAGAGGGTCACGGGTGAGGGGATGTCGGGGTGGTATGGCGTGGACACGGATGAACTTTTTTTTTTTTTTTTTTTACATGAGAAAGAAGAGGAAATGGAGTTGGAAGTGGAGTTAGTGTTAGCCGAGTATCACGTTTAGTGTTTGGCTTGGCTGTCAAACACTGTTTTGGCATTGCCATGGTGATGTGAGGAGCGACTGTAACCCCGGAGTTTTTACGGTGACCTTGCCCACTTGCTTTCTAGTCGAAGCACTTCTGGAAGTGTGTGTGTGTTGGGAAATGGCGCTCCTGCCTTGTGGAGGGGTGGGGTAGGGTGGGGGTGGGACTGACAATGACATGAGTAATGAGCTGAAGGATCTGAATCTGGCTACACTGGTCCAGACAGCGCTGGCTATGATTGTTGTGTAAGAAACCTCAGGATGACTGTAATGGATCCAAAACAACATGTTCCATCAAACACGATGACAAGGAGACATGGATAAATAGTGCTCGACTAGACAAAAAAAAAAAAAAAAGACGTTTCGTAGACACAAAGCAGCCATTACACGGTCGTACAAACGGACAGCATCTTCCAAGCCTGCATGAGAAAAACCTCCAGCATCCAAATCGTCTCACCTGGGGCCCAGCTCGTCCTCGCTCCGCCAGACGAAGTCTCCAAACTTCTCGTAGTGGGAGTTGTAGTGGTGCTGGACTCTGTATAGCAGCGGAGGAGGAATCTCCATCAGCGTATTGTAAGCCATCTGCTGCTCCTTTCCGCTGGTGTAGCCGTTGTACAAGTTGTACACCTTGTCTGCTATTTCTGTCGGGAGGTAAGAGGCAGACAGAAGACAGGCGGAGAGGCTCAGAGTGATTTCACATGTTCTTTAACATTATGTTCCTATGCAGCTAAACCTGTTCGCCCGTGGTAAGGACACAGTGTGATGTAGGAGGACATGTGTCTGCTTCCAATTCCATGTTGGGAGGTTGGAGAGGTGGTGTTGGTATAGGTCTAAGAAAGGAGTTTCACCAAGGAATCTGGGGTTTGTCTCCTGTGTAGGGCCATTATTTAGTTTGTACTCACAGTTTGGTTGGGTTTAGGCACCAAAATTATGTTGCTAGCTTCATTAAAATATCCTGCTTAGGGTTAGCGTTAGCTCGACCCTTTCACAAAGCATGTTCAGGTTTACACCCCAGAACTGTTAGGAAGAATTGTCATGCTATGGGTTTAAACATATCTTTTCTTAACATGTTTGAAGTGTTCGTCCTCTTTTCTGGGTTACCATGGTGATGAGTCCAGCCCCATTTAATTAATGATTGACTGACCAACCATCGGAGGGCGATACAATGAATGGCAAAAAAACGTTCATTAGAAACAAATACATTTCCCTGATAGCTGAATTGGGAATGCATGTAGAAGAGCAGATCTTCTTTTTGGAGACAGGGCTCGCTTGCAGAAGCATAACTAAACTGATTTTTAGTCCTTAATAGGCCAAACTTCTAATACGCTCTGATTTCCATAATTCAAATGATTGATGCCTTTCATTTTTGTCTCTGTTTGATAAACTCCTTATAGGTAGAAAACTAAATTTGACATTTAAATAAAAAAATGGTGGAGTGCTCCTTTACATTTTGCCATTTCTAATTTTATTCCCCAGATCTATTAACCATCATGCATGTGCACATTGCGTAGGTAAGATTGTTCCAAATAACAGCTGTATATGGTAAATGGACTGCACTTATATAGAGCTTTTCTACCTTAGCAGCACTCAAAGCGCTTTACAATGTTTTCTCATTCACATACATTCATACACCAATGGCGACAGAGCTGCCATGCAAGGTGCTGCCTGCCATTGGGAGCAACTTCAGGTTCAGTGTCTTGCCCAAGAACACTTGGACTGTGGAGGGATCGAACCGCCAACCTTACGATCAGAGGACAACCTGCTCTACCACCTGAGCCACAGCCGCCCATCAAATGGATCCTCACCTTTTTGTTCACCTCTTTTCTGTCAAGTTTCGTCTGACTTTTTAAAAATAAATGTATGAGTAACAAGGTAGAACCTGATTTAAATGATAGCAAGAACTGGAAATTTGCGTTTCACTACTAATCAGTTCTGGGTATGTATTGTGACAGAAGAGTCCTTGGTTGTGTTTTAAAGGGGGAACACAGTCGTAATGATGCCAAAATGTCACAGTAGTTGTACCCATTTCTATGTCAAAGTATGTACAAGACATTAGAAAGATGTAAATAAAAAAGGAAGTAGTCAAAGGTCGTGGGTGAAGTACCTTCAGCTCGACTATCATCCACCACCGGACACGACGTCCGTACCGAGACGAAGCTTGACTCAGAGTGACTGCCTCGGCTGTCCACTGCATAGAGAGTAAACCTGAGGACGACAGAAAAAAGAAAAGGAGGCAATCTTATTATTCACCATTCAAATTACTCCCAACCTGGCAAAGGTGAGCAGGACATATTCAGCAGATCAGCCTGAAATAAGTCACCAGTTTACCCTTTAAGAAAAAAACTCTTTATCCATAATTTGTCAACGGAGATGATGCTGTGACTTTATAATCTAGAGTTCTTGAATTCATGTCACGCTTGTTGCTTCGGGGTAAAAATGTAAATGTTGGCGGTATTTAATGTCCATACAAGAGGATGAAATGGAACTTTTAATGTAGAATTTCTTGGAGCAAAGTATTCAAATGGATCTTTTTCCTTTAATTAATATGTCAACTGTGATCAGCATCAGCAACTCTCACTGACAAAACCTCCAAAACTGGTATAATGTATAGTTAGAAGTGGTTGTAGGTTGCTAAAATGTTACAACAATCACTGGTTTACGTTTGCTCTCGGTCTCAAAATAAAATCTTTATTAAAAATGTAAAAAATCTGAAATGTTTTTCGAAAGTGTAGAAGTTCTGCTGGGCAAAAAATAGAAAGAAAAAAAACCCCAAACTCAAACATCATCAAGCTTTTTTATGTAAGAGGCGACATCTTTGGCCATCCCTGCTCGGTCTGTAAACGGAGATGAACTCCAGTAATTTCGCCACTAATTTAATCATACGTGATTTTAAACTGGCACCGCATACTTGTTCAGAAAACACAATGTGAACACGGAGCCAGGGATTGTGGGATATAATTGCATCTTAAAAAATGAATACAGTCAGCACCACAATGGCAGAGGAGAACGGAGGAAAACGGCTTCTGACTTGACTCCAAGAGCTCCGAGAGGACAAAGTTCCTTCCCTCTGAAAATGTCAAACATCAGAATGTTTTGGGTTCCATGACAAACTTCAGGACCGCTCAGTACCGCTGATAAGACGCACCGAGGAAACCCAACGCATCTCCAGCAATGTAGGACCACACGGGCTCGGAATGGAGAACAAATGACCTTTACGTGTCCTTTTGAAAATGCCAATCTGTGTTCTTCTGATTATGAGGAAAGTACAAGGAGGAACTGGTCATGCTGAATCTAAAAAAAGGGATCAAGGCTGGCACAGATTGAGCCATCAATTTCCTTTTGCAGGCAGGCAGGCAGGCAGAGAGAGGGTGGCTGCCGTTCTCGTGAACGTGCAGTTATCCGCCGCCGCCGCCGCCGTCTTCATTATGGTCGTACTTAACTCGCCGCCGCAGCTCACTGTGTGACCATGGCAACCACAGACACTACACTAAGAAAGAAAGAAAAAAAAAAAAACGTTGCTGGAGCTACTTTTACTGGTTTATCCGAGCCGTAAACGTTAATTATCTCATTAAAAAGCAGCACTGTTGTTTGTTTAGCTAAACTTGCTGCATTATTTGTGTCATATTGTTAACCGTTTGCTTCGTTTTGAGCTGCAGCGGACTCCGACAGACATTTTAACTTATAAAAACTGTAAATAATGCGACCGTAAATGCTCGATTTCAGCTGCTTGGTGTTGCGCCACAGTTATAACACTTGTGTCTTGATTTTCTTTAAACATCTCGAGTGAAGAAAGCCTGGATGAGGGAGGGACGGCAGCAAAGTGTAGCATATGGCGCATAAGTAATTCGAAGCATAAGTTTAACATTTTAGGAAATGGGTTAGATGGTTAGATTAGATTACCACAAAGAGTGGAATTGGGATTTAACAGGGGAAAACAGTCAGCGTTAAAACCTCCTATAAAATGACGAATTGTTCCTACACTGTAAAACGTGCACTTGGAGCTGTAGTTGAGGTAATGTACTGTAAACTACTGTTCCGATTTTATGGAAAACGTGAAAATTAGGTTTGCCGCTCCTCCAGCGCTGTGTGTCTGACATCATGCCGTCTGCGTTTCTTTTTTGTTGTTGCTGCAACTCAACTACCGTTTGGTTCAAGTGTGATTACAGAGCAAAGAAAAGGAAAGAAGTCAGAATCATGGAGTACATTTTTACGTTTGGGTGAAGCGAGTAATTAGGTTAGAAAAATTGGAAACTTCAAGATGACTTTCTCTAAGATTAAGTTGCAGCAATGCTCATTTGAAAGGAATCAAATGATTTAAGTACATCTAACTTCATCCAGCGGCATTAACAATTTATTTGTGTAAACTTAATTCAAATGTGTGTTATGGAAAAAATGTATTTAAGTTGGTCCAATTACCTTTTATTCTGTGTATTACATTCATTTTTCTATTTTTTAAAATGGATTACACATACAAGATATAGCAGGATCATTACTGAACTGTAGAACTTAGATATTAGCGTGATTAGGTTAATTTTGTCTATTCTGATTATAGGTATAAGGTTTCTTTATTTTGTTTTTTATCAGACAATGAGTATATTTAAGTGGGAGCTGTTTTTGTCGTTGACTTGTTTCAACTGTCACTTAAGTCTTCCTCAGAAACGTCACTGACGTCTGTGGTGACGTGTCTTTATCAGCTGGTGGTTTCCTGGAGGCGTGACCCGCCTTTCCTATGACATCATACTGTTTCCTTACCCGTCATTCATGCCGTCCCATGTGTGGGACAACATGAATGGCCCCTCGTCACGCTTCATGGTGTCTTTGGCTCGCCTCCAGTGTTTAAATGTGTTGCTCTCCGATGCGATGATCTTTGTCCCAGTCCGTGATGTGGTTGCTTCTTCTGCAGTGGTCTGATTTGGCTGATTTTAGGTTCACTTGTTCTGCTTTTTCTTTTTGAGATCTTGTGAGTTGTCCTGATGTTTCCTGTCAGGGAAAACCCGTCGGGCAAATCTGACAGATTGCCAGGAAACCAGCAGCTGATAAAGACACGTCACCACAGACGCCAGTGACGTTTCTGAGGAAGACTGAAGTGACAGTCGAAACATGTCAAAGGTCAAAACAGCTCCTACTTAAAAACACTCATTGTCTGATAAAAAAAAGAAAACTTAAACTTAATATTTGAAAACATCTAAGCCAGATATAAAAAAAACCTATACTTTAAAGAGACATTAAGTAATAGTGAAAAATAGCTGAAGTGAGTTTCCTCGAGAGGTAAATGTTTGGCTCAACCTTTTTAAAATTCTGCAGTAATGTGTAGTTACAGTTTAAAATTCCAGAAATACACAGAATACATAACATGCACACGTCTGGTAAACACACACGAGACATTTTAATCGTCTTTTGGTCATTAGATATCGTCTCAGGACTGCACACAGACGCTGCTTGAATGGCATCTGATGCACCTGTTAGGTTGGAAAACATTACAGCTTTATTACCCCTATTAGAACGGCGCCCTTAAGTAATTCCAGCAGCGTCGACTCCACTTGTAAGCCTTAATCGAAGCAAAAGTCTGATCAGAATAAAAGAAAACACTCTGTGTGTGTGTGCAGGACCAGTACAGGTTGCTTCACAGTCACAGAAACTCGCTGCGAAGATTTAAACAAAACATCATCGCCTGCCCTTGTCACATAATCCCGTCAGACTTTTCTCGACCATTAGATGCCATAAATATTGCTGTGTTGTGCATTTGTGGTGAAGATTGCTCTGCGAGCGAAGATTTTCTGAAAAGAAAAAGGACGTGGTGAATTAAAAGAATCCCCCTTTGGTCAACATGCACATGTTTTTCTTACTGCAAGGGGGAAGTTTTGAAAAAGTGAATTAAGTATTGAGAAATATTTGTAACTAGTTATAAAAAAAAAAACTGTAAGCTTTCAGCAGTATTTCCACAGAGTTACCACTGTAAAAACAACAGAATGACAAAGAGGAAACCACAAAACAAAGTGAGACAAAGTGAACAACTCAAATGGCATTCCGATGCTTCAAAAATGTTTGGAAACACACGAAAATAAAGAAATTAGGATATTATTGTTTTTGCAAAAAAAGTTGCTTTTCTTCCTAAACCCATTTTCATTTGTTTCATGTAATGTCTTTGGAGATCGCTTCCAATGCTGTCAAATGATTGTTTTGTTTGTAACATGACCTGTTTGGACATTGCTCACATAGTTTGTCTGCTCTTGTTATTCAGCGGGGTGGATGTGGTATTCCCCAAGAACCTCACAAAAGACGCACGGGCCTCGCTGGCTCCTCTGCCCAGCAAAACAATGCCGGCATGTTACAGTCACACTGTTTAAATTACGCGGCCGCATAACGTGCAGATGGACGCGACGAGGTGGGAGCGCAGGAGGACGACGACGACGAAGTTTGATCGCGGCAATTTGTTCACTTTTGATGGGATCTGAAGCTTCTTATTGTTGTTTTTTTGATTGTTTAAATGGCTGGCATCAATAATAGGTACGGTTTCCCCTTCCGCAGCCCCCCCCCCACCAGCAATTACAGGATTGTTATGTACCGTAAAAATGCCATTTGAGCCAGGAAATTAAGCCCTCTCCGAGACCCGGCTCGGAGAAGAGGAATAACATGTGCGAGGAATGCACATAAATTGTACTCAAAATATATGTGAAATATTGCAGCCAGAAGTCCCTCACATTGTTATGGATCTCATTTATGCGCCGTAATAGTGGCAGTAAAAAGGGGGCTAAATGGACGGAGTACGGTGTCTGAGCTCGGTACAGGCACTAAGTGATGATAAAGATCGCCTGGGAGAACAAAGGAAGCAGCCAAACTCTGGCCCGCCACGAGAATGTCAAATCATCAAGTAAGAGAATTGGCAAGATACACACAACCGCCACGGCCACCCACCCACTCAAACACACAGATACACTTTCCTTTTCCCTTTTTCTTATTTTCCTATCTACACGAGGTTTGCGTACAGGCTCAGCCTCCGTCTATCCCCCCGTCTCTAATTCGGCGTCTATTCCAAGCCCGTCTGGCTGCACATGGCTCCCTTTGGAAGCGGCTCGGTTTTGTCCGTGTGCCATAGTTTTGAAAGCTCAGCAAACAATGAAGTGGACAAATGGCAGATTAATGTTTGTGTAAATTAACAATGTTGCCATTAAAGTAACCATTGTCCTCTAATTTAATGAGACAGT